CGAAGCCGACCCTGCGAGTACCACTCCAGGAGTCGAGGAGCCTGAACCACCTACGCCTGAGCTTGATCCGCAAGACTACAAGGAAGGGGAAGGTCGTTCAGTATCTCCGACGAAAACATGGTCACACTACCCGACATCGAATCCAGATACTGAGGAACGGAAAAGAGCTGCCAAGCGCAGTGGACAAGGTACAGCAACCGCTTCCAGCTGGAAATCCGCCTATGACAACCTCAGAAGGGTCAGAGCACGCGCAGAGAGCCAAATGGTGTGCTATTGTTGTGGTTCAAACCAACATCACCTGGCTATTTGTCCCGACACTGAGAAGAAGAACGAGTTGATGAAATCATTTTCTTACATGGAGGACACTATGCGCAAGTGCTTCACCGAGGACGACAAGGCAATCATCCGACGTGATGTTGAAAACCGAAAGAGGAAAGCAAAGTCATCCAAAGACGTCGAAGACGAGGACTACATGGATGTGGATGATGAAGATATTGAACTTCCCGAAGAAGAGCCGGAACTAGGAAGTAAGGTACCACCTTACTCTCCGAGAGCCAAAGGTAGACCACATCCGTCAGACTCTGCAAAAGAGGAATACGCGAAAGCGGTCGAGGCAACCAAGAAGGCCTTTGGGAACGCCAGTTTCGTCACCAGATTCAAAGAGCCCGTCGACCTCTTTGACATTGCCGATGACAAAGAAGGAGGAGAATACAAGGTCGCAAATCACAGGGTTGATAGATCAGGTCCCGATGGAAAGAGGGAACTTGATGCACTTATTCAGGAGGCTGCAGCACTCGGAATAAAGATGCCCAAAGTGAAGGACCTTGCTCCTGACCCACAACAATTTCAAAAGGATGGATATCGGCAGATTGAGGTGGCTTGCGATAGAGGAAACATCGAGATAATTCCACAGTATGGAGTTACATTCTATGTGGAGTACTGGAATGGACCGAAGAGAGATGCAACTTTCACGGATCCACCAAAGATGAACCCAGCAATTCGCATCGACAAGTCCAGCGAGGAGAGTCAGTGGGTCAGCGAGATTAGCCATAGACTCAATAGACTACTCAGGCATGGAGTGGGAAAGCATAATGGGATTCAATCGCACCGCGGTCGAAAACCACATGTGTCCCCGAAGTGCAATGAGGGTGGATGGGTGAACATCGATGAGATCCTGGAATATGATCATGTCTTCAACGATGGTGTCAATATCAGTACTATCTCAGGCACTCAACGTGAGCAAGATACCAAGACAGAGCGATACCAATATTTATGCAAGGCGATGTGGCATGCAAAGAAGTTGCAGAACAGAGTACGCTATCAGATTGCCGCCATTCGCATCTCAAAGGAGGATGTCTCACTCGAAGAGGAAAGGCAATACTGGGCAAACCTCATGTTTTACGGCGCAGACGCACCGTCATTTCTGAAGCATGAACGTTGGATCGTTCCTTGTGCAATTCGAGCTGTTGCCTCTCACAATTCTGGAAGAGAGACTGTTCTTGAAGAGGATGTGTCAATATATCCTGTGTGGACTTCACATCTCATTCCAGAGAATGTGGCAATGCAGCTTGGAGGAAGCTTTCACATGACATCGCTTTCCAATATTGAGTCAATCATGAAACTAGGAATTGTCCCTGGTGGAACGGAGGGATATAGAGGTAGTGTTTTCTTCAACCACTTTGCGCCGTGGGATGATCGATCATCAAAGATTCTGAGATCAAGATGGCCAAGAGTGGGAATGCCCGTATGCCTTTATGTTCCAATCATGACTTTGAGGAAGCTTGGGGGAAGAATTTCGGAGAATTCCTACACTGTTGTTTTTAGAGAAGTTCCATGGAGATGTGTACGAGGTGCTTGGTATTGGGACGACCACGTTCAGGCATGGAGGAGACTCCTGCTGGGAAGTACTGGAGAGCAAGTTGTTTTAGCGGCGCGTCATGGACTTTGGGTTGCTCAGAAGCATACCATCCTCGAGAGAGCCGACGAAGTCACGAAGTCAGCCTCGGCGACAGATGACAACGTCCAAAAGCTCGTGTCCCTTGTTGATGAAGTAAAATTCGATGACAATGGAGAGCTGATCGAGGATTCCATCAGTGAGGAAACTTGGGACGAAATCATCTCCAGAACATGTGAAGGATATCGCAACGTGGATGGCAACATTTTGTGTCCATCATGTATGCATTTGACTTCTTCATCTTTGTCCGTGTGTCTATCTTGTCAAGGCAGGCTACTCTCGTGTGGTATTCGCAACACTGTCATTTCCGATTCACCCGTTGATCTTGTGACCGACGATGAAGAGGAAAAGAAGGAAGAGAAGGAGCCTGAAGATGATGTTCAAGATACTTTGGACCAGGCCACTATGGACGAGATCAGAAGGGCTTGGGAAGAAGACATCGCTCAAACTGAAGCAGCTGACGACGACGAGGACATGGACAATCTAGATCCTTCCAAACCGTCTGATGGTGCAGAAAACTTCAAGAGTGACAATGTCGAGACCCCATCTTTCAATGAGGACGAGATCGACTACGGTCGTGATTCTGATCTAGAAGATGAAGACGAACGAAATATGATCATCGAGATCCAGAGGAGCACACAACAATATGAGGGGAAGAAACGCCAAGATGGTGAGCCCGAGGATGAAGACGTCACCGACGACTTACATCTGGAGACGAATCGACCGACAGATCGTGATGAACCGGGATACTATGCGCAGCATGGAGCGACCGAGTTCAATCCCGAAGAAGGAAAAGACAACGAGGATCTCCCCATCTATTGTCGAGTACCGGAACCTCGAATCTATGCGCATCAAGAGAGAGCCTACTGTCAGGACGTCTCCGTGAAAGCATCGGGTTTGATGGATAGGTATGTGGTCAAATGTGTGCTGAGCATGATCTCCCTGATGTACAAGAGCTACTATTGCACCAGCCTTACCGACTTCAAAGCAAATTGGAAAAAGAAGCGTCTGGATGTGATAAGCAAGTTCGGTACAGGAGATTCCACTGAAATCGATGACGATGGGAGACCATTGGATCCAACAGATGAGATGATGTTAATCTTTGCCAACGACAACAATATTACAACTGAGGAGGCCTGGCACCGATTCAGAGGAGAGCAGTTCATTTGCAAGGTGGCACTCATGATCCTATCATTTGGTCATACTCCGCAATCCTTCAAGGAGGAATATGGCAACTTCGAACACTCCACCAACTTGACTGATGCCCAGCTTGAGGAGTTGAAAGCGAAGAAAGCCAGCGCAATGACTGAATTGGTACAGAAGTGCATCCATGCGATTTATGGTTGTCGGACATATTCTTACTTTAGAACCGACGTTACATCACCCAACCACAAGGTGATCGATCCTCTGGACATCATGTACTCGAGAATGAAGAGCAAGTGGGAGAAGTCTATTCTGTTGATCATTGATCAACATGAGATCAGGTTACCCCCACAAGCTCAGGAAGTCATAGAGTCAATGGCCAGAAACCCCAACGTTGGACATACAGAGAGATGGATGAGCGTGGTAGAACATAAGCATGTTCAAGCTCTTACCAATCGTCTAGGCTTTGGAGATAGGGCCAAGGAGATTCAGGGCAAGAAGAAGCAGGCAGCCAAGGCAACAGCTAAGTCAACATCAACGACTAAGTCTGAAGCGAAAACAGCATCTTCGTCAAGAGCTGAGGCAAAGCCAGCATCTACACCCAGAGCCGAGGCCAAGCCGTCGTCAGCACCAAGTGAGGAGCCAAAACCTTCAACAGCACCTAAGAGTTTCGGGCCCTCATCAACAGAGGAGAACAAGGCGAAGGCTGTTCTAAAAGCCAGACCACATGATAAATCACCATCCAGTGCTACCGATGTGTTCGAGCAAGCTTTGCAGGAAGATCTTGCCGCCAACACACATGCAGCAGAAGGTACAACTTCTTCATCATCCCGAGGACATTCCAAAGGAGGAGGCCAATCTGGAACATCTTGGAGGCCGGCGCTAACGCAAGAACATCGCGAAGTACCTCAACCTTCTGAAAAGGGAAAGGGAAAGAGCAAGTCCAAGGGAAAGTCCAAGAAAGGAGAAGATGATCGGTGGGATGCTCAGGGCAGCTGGGATCATCGTGGATGGAGAGGTTATCACCAGTGGTGATTTCTTTGAACGACTATGAGGATACCATGCAAACCAGGGAGGAAGTCATTCACCGGATGTCTATCTGACCTGAAACGCTGTAAGTGTATCATTGCAAATCGTCAATCTGATTTGATACCATGAGCATAATGGAAGGAAGACAATCACCGACTGTCTCTCCGACTTGCCGTTCTGTAAGTGTATCCAAATTAAAACCTACATCTGTTGAGAAGTGTGAAGTCAGTTGCCGATGTGACATCTACGTGGAAGTCACCAGTTCGGATCTACATCAAAGCGATGCTCTTTTGAGTGGATACTGAGCGAGGCCTCGTGACTGTCTCACTTGTTCAATTCGATTTTTTTCATAGGTTCTGAGCCATAGTTGCACACTTTATATGTAAAAGTCCGCTTTAGTCCAGCATGTTTCGTAGTATGAGCCTCATATGAGTCTCGCGGCAAATCATACAATTTCTTTGTAGCACTTACATCCCTAAATTTTCGTGTGTGATCGGAACATATTGTTACCGTTCACATGGGGGGTGCGAATGGAAGTGCAGCGACACGTACAGTGCAACTTGTACATATATATATATACCATATGTACTTTGGCTCAAGGATCAAGCGACTAGAAAAGGTGCGGCTTCCGTTCCGACGCTACGCCGCTTATGGACCGTCAGTGATAGCTTCAAACTTCGCTGATTAAGATCCACTCGCATAATATGTGTATGTAATATATGTACTTTAAGACCAGAGATGAACTACGGCTGGCTTGCCGAGGAAGTATGAGCGGTATGCTGTGTCAAACAAATTTAGACTTTTCTGAGCGAGGGTTCCAGAGTTCCAGACTGAAGAGCCAATCCAAACGTTGATTGGAATTGCTTCGGACCAGGAATGGTTCCCAGATGCAGTGCGACCAGCCCTACGTCGGCATTTGCCAAACTTTCATGAAGGCGCAGCAACTGTTTCACAGCTGTGAAAAGCGTTCATCGATGTTGCCATCGCATCGCATGGTCAATATTTTGCCATCAACTTCTGGCATTTCTGTGGCTTGTTGGTTTGAAGTTGCATTCCGCTCGCCCTGGTCATAGTTGCGCCATGGCGCCCGGCGGTGCTGAGTACACACTTGTTCCTGTGTCTTTAGTCTCCGGTGAGTCGGTCGAGATCAAGCTCTTACCCGGCTCGACAGCTTTGGACCTGAGACTTGTCGCATCCATGTCACACCTTTCAGAGTGCTCGGATCCACACAGTCTTTCTTGTATAATGGACAGATAGCATATTAACATGTAACATCATGTAACGACACTAAATAAATCGCTAGAAAACTTGAAATACATTAATGAAAAGCGAAAGCACGCTCAAGAGTTCAAAGTTTCAAAAAAGTCCAATCATTGGCATCATTGGCAGCATTCAACCATCACTTGATGCCACCTACTAAGGAAGGACCGCTTCCGCAAGCAGTGGCCTTCCTACAAGGAGACAATCAATTTGTTTTGGTCTTTCGTGAAAGAGAAGCTCATGGTACAAGGATGTACGATGCGACTTTGTGATGCTATCAGGTGTGCATTTGGATGTAAGATCATGGAGAATGCTTGCTTGCATGTTTCAATACTGCTGCGCTTGTTACATTCTGAGAAATTCATATCACTTATTGTGGAGGATGTCTCCCTCCAGCTTTTCCTGCTGAACGGAGTAAGCCCACTCCAAGACTCGGAGCGAATTGACTTGACCTCTGCGCCAAGCTTCCTGCTGGTGGCCGGTGTGGCTTCCTAGATTACAGAAACTGGTACATTTCAGATTTGTTGTTTTTTACCCATGGTGCTTGCATGTGGCACGTGGCAGCAAGTGAAATGCAGAGCTGAATCTGGACAAGTTCTCATCCTTCAGAAATCTTACCATTCTGAGGAGAGGCTGCACCTCCACCTCGCACAGATGAGCTTATGGCTACTATCAACCAGACATGTCCTGGCCTCAGAATGCATCAGAGACTTAAATCTCCCACGTAGATGATAAGAGCACTCAAAACATAATTACTTGAATAAACGGTCATATCATCATGTCCATGTACCAAGGTCAGGATGCAGGAGGGATCTATGCAAAGTATGGCTGCAAGGCACCGGACAAGGAGTAGGTCCCTGAACTCTCAAAGACTCGTAGAGACGTACTGTCACCGTTTTCGTGGAACATATACCAACATGTGACATGTGAGTGTATGTGCAAAGATCGAAAGGTAACACGGTCATCTTGCTCGGTTATTGGTAAGCCGTCGTGGAACATTTAATTTTCCTTGATCATGGTGAGGCCATCTCCTGGGATGACTGCACACGCTCAGCTGGCCCTAAGGGCCTGAGCTGCTTCGGGCCGAACATCACGGACTCCAGGCCACGGCCATGGTGGATTGCAGTGCAGATTGCGGCGCAGCGTGCAAGATGCAAAATGAACATCTCTGCCAGATTTGATCTCTAAGCCACATTGCTTGGTGCAAGATGCTTGAAGGACACAAGTTTCTCTCTCTCTCTCTCTCTTTGTTACATTATTTGTTTGCTACTCCTGCTATTCAGGTCCATGAGTAAGTATATGCTAGGTGTGGTTTGTCCAAATCATACCGTAGCAGATGTCAAATTACACGGAGGTGTAGGAATCAACCCAGCTGTGCATCAAAGTCTATATAACTGCAGCTATGTGAGACAACTGGAGGTGTTCTCTTTGTTTTCGTCATTCTCATTTGAGAGGAGTCTTTCTTTACTCACTTCCCTTCCCAGGGATCGGGAGTCCGCTTCCCGTCTTTCCAATGGTTCGTGAAGTGCACTTGGGTTGTTAGATTTGATCAGACCCTTTGTCGTTCAAAGAATTTGCCTCTTCTCCGTTGCATGAAGATGTTTGGTGAATTGATGTATACAATGTAGGCACGGTCCTATTGCATTAATATATATATATATACACAATGGATGATATTGAATCGTACCCGGCCTTCAGGCTTGTGGAGCGCTCTGGAAAGACGCTTTACACTGTGCGCGGCTCCAATTGGAACGAGAGGTGTGAGTGCTACTCACCAAGAATGGCACTACAGTCTTCACAATGACGCAGTGTTTGTGTTAGTCAGCAAAGGATGCTTTTTCCCATTGACCCCGCAGATAGCTAGGTGTACTGGTTGCGCATTTTGCGGGCTTCCTAGGCACCATTTCAGGTTGAACATGTGTTTTTACGTGACTCCAACCCAGTTGACTTTCTAATTTACAGTATCTACTGCATTCTATCATGTTTTGTCACCTCGTGATGTTTCTTGGGCTTCCTAGATGATTGAAGAGTCTGCTTGCTGGAAAATGCTGGGACAGTCCAACGTCTAGTCCACGGTATGTGCTGGACAGTGGGCAACGTAACCTAGTGTACAGACATTTCTATACATTTCTTGTATATGTGAAGAAACAATTCCTGTGTTTAGTAGTAACGGCGAGACTCCAGCTTTGCGCGAGGCTGGGAAAAGTCGCAGCAAAAGATGTCACTGTGCTGGTGACTGGTGAAGAGAAGGACCCAGAACCAAGAACGGTAAGTTTCCGTGTACATCTAGAAGCGAAATGACTATTGCTAGCACTTCTTCAAGGAAGCTCCTGCCCTACACAAGTTTGCGTCGATAAGCCAGGAGCACATATATATATATATAATGCGTACAATTACTGTATGCCCGATTTATGCACATAATGCGCATATTTGCAAGATATATACTCAATACATAATGCAACATAGCTTGTTTCTTAACCCTTGTACTTACGCACCTCCTCTACCCACCCAGGTCGTGATGGACTTACCCCGCGTTTGTTGTGGGATTCCAGGAGCTGAAGCCAATTTCGTTGCGAGAATATTTGGAGCAGATCCATCAGTATGGTGGCTATGCAGGACAGATATGTATACATATATACAGACTAGTAGAGATACACATGCACACTTTCTACATATTCAAATTGCGCTTGTATTGAAGGTTTTATGATGCTTGGGGTGATGGGGATGGGGAGGATATTCTGAATGGTGATACCATTGCATATATACAATTGTATTGATGGGTCGGGTTTTACAAACCAGCAGGTAGGTGTTTTAAGTTTGGATTTGCAAGAACATGTCAGTTTTCCTCCAGCAGCTAGCAAGACGAGATACAGGTGTCCCCGCTGATACTGCACTGCATGCAGACGCGGATCAAGAAATCAGCATCAGGCCATAGCCATAGTCGCAGCAAACGCTTGCTGTCCAAACCTTTTTTGCAATTGAAGTTGATTATGGGATGTGTGCACTCAGTGTGTTCGACAGGCTTGACTGTCAACAGGACTTGCTAACTTTGAAAAGGGTGTATAGTCGGCAGACATAGATCAGCGGCGGAAGGCAGAAGTGCTTGTACTCATTGCCGGCGGTTTGTAGCATTAGAACTATCCTCGCTATATTAATACAGGTGTCCGGTTTCAATCTTCAGGCTACACCTCACTTGCCAAAATAGCAGAGGACCTTTCAAAGGGTATAGAAGTATATACTGTACTTGTCGAACCCGTTGCTGGCTTATTCAGTTGGTGTCAGCTTTACACACTGCCAATCGTGTAGAACCCTGTCAGTTTTACATCACTTTTGCCAGCTGGCTTGGCACTCCGTATTCAGTCCTTGTCACTCCAGGTTCCAAACAACCTTCCTGCCCGTTCATGAGGACGTTTTGTAGACGTCTTGTAGCCTTCTTGTGCAAAGTACTGCAACTTCATCGCTTCGCTTCATCATTTGGATGGCTACTTTGCTGTTTGGACTGGTTGGGCCTTTGTCCAGTCTAGCGAACGAAGTTGAGTCCACTGAGCGCACGACTGCACCTCTATCATAGTGTGGAGTGTGCAGTATTATCCAGGATGGCACAGTGGAATTCTGTGGAGAAGCCTACAACTACCAGCCACTTGCAAGCAATTTGAGTGATGTGGCTGGCTGAAGGCTTTGGTTGCTCAAGGCAAGACACCTAGTCCATGCCAAACCCAAAATAATCAGCAGAGAAAATGCTTTGCTATGATGCCGAAGTCATTCAGGCATGCTCTTGATACTCTGATACGCTTTTGGTGACTAAAAGTTGATTTTGTATGATTTTTGTACAGTAAGTATTCAGAGGGCACTCACTAAGGGGTCCTGGATGCCACCTCGGAGAAAATACAGGGAAAGTGGCACTATCAATGATCCACTCTCTTGTGTTTCGGAGAACAGGAATTCAAATTATGTATTGACTTCTGTCTTGATTGGGTTGTAGCATTGCAGTTTGAGCCCTCTGCAAAGGTTTTCGTTGATGCACATTAGAAGGCTGAACAAGATACCAAAAGCACAAAATGTTAGGTACACATGTGTGGCAAGCTTTCTGCATGAGGTTGTGTTCTATGTTTATAAGTAGCTTCGCATCCATCTTTTAATCGCTTCTCGTTTGATCTGTAGAAACGCATCCGCCACAGCGTTTTGAGTATTTAAATCAAAGGCCGGAAAGAAGGCAGGTTGGAGGCCTAGTTGTCATTCCCTCCAGGACAGTGTCCAATGATGACCCTAAGAACCTGGTGCTGCTGTGCACCTCAGAAGGCTCCGGGTGATAGGGGCTAGAACAAATGCTGCAAGGGACTGTTGGGAATCAATAGAACCTTACATGTGCTTGAAGTCACACCTTACTAGTAGTAACAAGAAGCTACTAGTAACAAGTGCATCGCTACTAGTAACAAGTGCCTTACTAGTAACAAGTGCCTTACTAGTAGTAACAATGAGCTATTAGAAACAAGTGTCTCGCTACCAGTAACAAGAACCTATTAGCACAGGGTCTCAGAAATACTTCATGTTTGAGTTAGACTAGAGCCTTGACATGATTGGAATTGTTGGGAGCCTGCTGGGGTCAAATATTGGGAGAGCTACAAAGCAAGGCCTACCCCAGGGAAATGACAATACAACTTTATAGCACAGAGTG